ATAACATTTTGGTCTGGATTCAAAAATAATTACCCGATTGATATGTGTGCATCGATCCCAATAACAAATCCGCAATTAGTGATGATCATTAGTGACCCTAACTATATAATTTTAATAGGCCGTTGCACACCCTAGTGTGGCATCTGCAAATCATAGTAACATGTGAAAGCACAGAAAATCAGAAGATTTTTCCGACAATTTTAAAGATTTCGAATAAATACAGAAATAACGTAGATATTACATACTGATTGAACAATATGATCGATAAGCAAACTGCCATAATTACTGAAAAAAGTTAGCGTTAGCATAAAAATTCAACATATAAACCCAATATCGTAATTGTTCTGATTGTGATTTCTCAGATCAACAACCTTTTACGTTCATTTTGAGATTTATACAGGTTAAAAAATTGCACGTACGTATGTACGTACGTACGAGATCCATACAATATAATTTCTACATAACAACATCATTGCTGTCCAATAATATGCAGGACAGTAAGTCTCCTGTCCCATACACTTCGTTCCTGGTAAACATTTAAACCTTTTAAAACTATGGCAGCTGATGACTAAAACTATTGTCTTTGATTGATTAATTTTAGCTATGATATTTATTTCTTATGTAAAATCGTCTTCATCCTTACAACAAACAATTATTACTTGTTATTGTTTGAAACAAATTAAAATTTTAAAGTGTTTAGAATATTTGACATCTTTACTCATATGTAGAGTTGGTAAAACTACTGTGATTTTACGTATTTTGTTTAGGTTTCAATGATAAATTGGAATTTCATGTTAACGACAATTGGACTGTGAACATATAATATCTTTACATAAATTAGTTCGCCATTAACGTTAAATGTTGTAATCAATTTACGAAATTAATACTTATTTTACACACCGTATTGAGAATAAAATTTATGAAATATAAAATGTAAATTTCGTAAAACAACCTTACTCGTATGAGGAAAATTTTAAACGGTAAACGTTTCCAATCTTATGTAGATATATATCCTTTTGGAAAAATGGGTTTTGAGATATAATATAGCAATGAAAAATACATGTATAAAACGATACATTAATGAAACGATACATTAATGACAAAATACACTATAATACTTTATTAATTAACCATGCTAATTAATTACAATTCTCGCAAAATATAAAATACATAATGTAAAATTATATATATTATATATTACGATTTACTATTTGTAATTAATTATTGAATATCAATTTTTCTTCGACACAGCTTGCTTTCATCCTTTGGAAGTTTTACTTCGAGGACTCCGTGTTCAAACTTAGCAGTAACATCAGCAGCCTTAATGTCTTGAGGAAAAGTGACAGAACGAGCAAACTTTTCATAACGACGTTCATGAATATGCAAAGTTCCTTCTTTATGTTTTTCATCTCGTTTGGTCTCACCAGAAATAACAAGAGTATTTTCACGAACATCGAGGTTGATTTGTTCTTTGGTAACTCCCTATTTTAATAAGTTGAATTGGTTAAATACAGTGAATACAGTATGTAAAAGTTTAATAAGAACTATAACGATAAAATAGAATACATACCGGTAATTCAGCGTTTACAAAGAATTCTTTTTTGCATTAATGAACATCAAGGGGTGGAATCCAATTACTATGACTATTGCTTCGTGCAACAATATTACCAGATTGCCTTTCAACATTAAGATCTTTGAGGAAATCATCAAATAGACGAGACATTGAATTTTCAAATTGACCAAGCTTGTAATCAGGCCAGTATGCAGACATTTTGGTAATGGGTTTTATTTCAAATTGTTGTTTCTTGTGGTTTGTGTTTTAAAGTTTTCAAATTGGTTTTGTTGTTTGTAATTTGATTTAAACTTGATTTTTGAAAGTTGGGTACGGTAAGTACCTCTATTTATATGAATTTTCACACGCTACTGTTAATTTCTTACTGATTCGGGATTAATCTAGATATCATCACTATTCATAATTCCAGAGCATTCAAGAAAATTGTTTATCTATAAATTATACTAAAAAAGGGAGTTGCTAAAGCGGGGTTAACTAAAGTTACATTATTGATCCATTTTTAGTTATATTATCAAGAACACAGTTTATGTAGCATGTAGATCAATATATCAGCAGTCTCCCTAATAAGGTAAATTCATTTCGTGATACGTAATATAGTCACATATAATTGCGACGCTCCAGAATGTTCCATAATGTAGAATAGTTATGAAATGAAAAATTTATTATTCTGAGCGAAGCGATGGAAATCCTAATTCTATGTCATTATCTATATCATTACGACGCATTTGCGTAATTCGAGTATCAAGTAGTAGTATAAAGTGCGTCATTTACTTTTTTTTCTTAACATTTCTTATTGTAAAATCACAGATAACGTCTAAGCCATCTTTCCACGAAAAGATGGATTAGATGTTATCTATGTAGCTTTCAATAGTGTTAAAAAGTAAATGACACACTTTATACTTATAGTATATACTCGAATTACTCTGATGCGTCATAATATGAACTTATTGTAATTACGAATTACGAATATAGTGGAATCTCATTATTAGATTGTTCTATAATTAACTATATAGATATAAGAAATATTAATTTTTGTTACTTCACGAAAGAAAAAAAATAAAAAAAGAAACTTTTAATACAAAAAAATTTTTTTGAAATAGTTATTCATTTATTTTTCTCTCAAAGCATAGGCTTTGATTAAGAATGGCAAAAAAATTTTGATTGATTAAATCAAGGTTTAGATATATTTCATGTCATAAGCATTCTTTATATAAATAGACTATATATATAATGTAATTATTTTATAATTTATATATTAAAAAGTAGAGCATTGATATATATATCTGTCTGCCTGTATCGCAGTAACATAAATCTATATATTTTATACTAATATACATAATATTTATAGTATTTATGTGTTTTATAACTCCACATTATAATATTTAAATATCTGTGATAGTGTTTCTCATAAAATCTGCATCACAACCTTACAAATACTAATAGTTTTGTTATTAGTCAAGGTTATTTTATATCAAAATTAATTTATATACAGCATAGAGCATATAAATTAAATTGAACTATTCTTAATATTAAAATTGTTTGTTTATATAAATTAATAAATTGGTATGAGTATAAAATTAGATTAGATTTTTTTTGTAAATGTCATAGTTGAAACTTTATTTAATAAGATAGAAAGAAATTCTATATTAAAGATTTTAGAACTACATTTGTGTTACTATATTAGGCACCCAATATAACATTATACCCTCTAGTTTTCTATATAATGCAATCAATTATTGTTATTAATTGGTTTGCTAGAATAGGTTAGAGGAAACCTAAAATATATATCATGATATTAAAAAATATAGTTAGTTAAAAAATAGCCTTGTGGAAATCATTTTTTTATAAAAAAAAAGTGTCTATTTAAGATATATTAGGTAAAGTAGTGTTTGATATAAGAGACATATTAAGTAAGATGTATTTATTTTGTTTAGTTTTTGAAGTAATATTTTGAGCTTGTTTCTATTAGTGTTAAAAAATATTTTATATAGATCATATTTCATCAAAACCAGTTTAAGAGATTATTGGATAAGATGATTAGAAATTGTTTAATTTGTTTGACTATTTGTAATTTAATATTTTCATAAACAGCTAAGAAATAAATACCAATAATATAGTATAAGAAAAGATTGTAGCTTGGATTAGAATTATTAAGTGTAAAGTGAAGGAGGAGTTAAGAATTGTAGTTGGTGATATGATGTAGTTTTAAAAGAGAAAAGTGAGACAGAAATTATGTCTATTAGAAATTGATGAAGATTAATATTATTATTTGGGCATAGAAGTAAATGCAGTATATTTTTTAGATTTGAACAGTAAGTACAGTTTGGTGCAGAGTATAAGTAGAGATAGCAAATATTCAGATTTTTCATAGTTAAAAGGTTATAAATTAAAATTTTGGTTCTGAAAGTATATTTTAAAGGGTTATGTACAAGAGAGTTTAGAATGTTGAAACATATTGTTCATTCAATTTTAGATAAATCTTTAAAGATTTTAAGTAAAGACTATGAGTAGAGTTCTTATATAGTGAATATATTTTTGATAAAGGTTGTGTTTTAAATAGTTTTTCTACAAAAAATAAGCTAGTAAATTGATATAGTTATAGGATATTTTTAGGATAGTTTTGTTAGAACTTTGTTTAGCAAGCTGATCTGCTTGGTTTTGAAGAGCATTAGAGTGTGATTTGGTTTTATAGAAAATAAAAGTAATATTTTTAATATGTTTAATAGGCAATCCACCTAAGATCTGGACAAAAATTTTTTTTATATATATAAATTTTACTATAAGTGCGAGAGTGCAGCACCCTATCAAAAACCTTTTTTTTACTAAGTAAATTACTCTTGGGTTTCTAACAGAAGTTGTAAAGAGGGTGTGGCGACTTAGTGAAGTGGTTGGGTTGTCACCCCCAAGCGGCACATCTAGAGTTCAATTCCCACCAACGGTGAAAAATTAAATTCTTTCATATAACAGCAACTCTCTCATATATTGGGAAGAAGATCCTGTAACATCAGTCATATCTTATATAGGAAGAATATTCATTGCACTATTGGGTCAATCTAAGGGGATCTCAGAATATTTGTGTAATGTACGAATTGCACAAAGAGAATACAAAACCGATAAGGTGGTATAAACTCATAATAAGTTCTCAGATCATTTTAATCCGATGAATAGTGCTATGGGAAGCCCACTTGGCAAGACCTAAGTAGAGAGGTAGTACAAGCTTTCGATGGTGCTTACCAAAATAGGCTTCATCCAAGGCTGGAAAACTGGATGAGGCAAGAGTATTAACAAGTTACTTCACCAACCAGGCTACCGGCTTGACCAGAGAAAAGACTGGTATCCTTTCCAGACCATCTGGATTAGTAGTCTGGTGAGACCAGCTAGGGTTAGGGCTCTTAGGTTTGAGTTCGGTTCGGTCCGGGTTTGATCAAACTTCAAACTCAAATCAAACTCAAACTTAAAATTTTACTAAT